TAAATAAAGAACCTCATGGAGGAAGATTTTACAGCAACCACCACTAGATGGCGACAGTCATCCACGATGCTAAATTACAGCATCTGGCAACGTGTGAAAATATACTGTACATGAAATAAATATACTTTTTTATTTATTTCATGAACAAAATTCAGCTGCATCTGCAACATATAAAAGCCCTACAGCAATATAACAAACTACAATATTTGTCATCCTCTTTAACACATGGTCAAAATGCCGTCAGCTTTTCTAGGCAAATCAGTTATTCAATTTCATGCAAAACTCACCAGCATACTAAGGTCAAGCATGTGTCTAGCTGGAGACAGCGTGGTTTCATCATGCAGTGGCTTTGAGATTGGGCTCTGGGTGCTGGCGGGGCCATCCTTCATGAGGTCAAGTGGTGCTATAACCAGGACATACATAAGTAAGACTCTAAGTACAAAGGAAGAGTGTGATTTGTGCACTGAAATAATTTACAATATCAACCCACCGAAAACGTATTATTAATGACAGATGTATTCTTTAAAGCACACCTCTGATATATTTCTCTGATGGGTGTGTTGGTGTTGAACTGGATGGAGGGGATGTGGACATCCACCAAAACGGCTGGTCATCTTCTGCATCAGTTGCCTGAAGGCATCTTTCGTCTCGACTCTGTGGCTTTCCGAAACGGAAGCGTTCAATGTACCTTGAAGGATTTAATTGCAAAAGGATGTCATATAATTAACAAGCAACAACATACGCTTTCAAGGTAAACATAACGCTTGCATTAAACACCCCGGATATGCTCATCTGAGAATAATGTGTCACCATATGTGGCACCATCACTTCAGCGTTCCTTTAAAAAGAAAGGAAGATACTGTTTATATTTTAAATGAATGGCTCACTGCGTAGCAAATGGTGAGTGAAATTACTCTATTTTAGACAACAAGGTCCACTTCCAGATGTAAAAATCTTTTTACAACAGACCTACCATGACCAAGATCTTGAATATATTTAATGTACTTATTTAAAACAGTAATATTATTAGAATTTAAAATACTTGTTTTCTATTTGAAATTTTAATATGAAATTTATTCCAGTGACGTAAAGCTGAATTTTCAGCATCATTACTCCAGTCTTCAGTGTCACATGATTTTTTCAGGAGTCTTTGATGAACAGAAAGTTCAAAAGAACAGCATTGGTTTGAAACAGAAATATTTTGTAACATTATAAATGTCTTTTTTCTGTCACATTTAGTCAATTTAATGCATCCTTGCGAAATAAAAATTATATATTTTTTAAAGAAATCACTAACTCCAAATGTTTAAACTGTAATTTATATCTCTTAATATAGTAAATAGTTGGACATGATACCATCGTTGCTTTGTTTGTGATGAACGCCATGCCAGCTTCTGTGGTTATTTTCATTGCGAGAAAAATGTATGGCTAAATTATATCAGGTTTTTACAATTTATTTTCGCTAAAAACTGTATTTGGCTAAACTCTGTTAAAAATCTCTTCAAAAGAGTTAACTGAATAATAAAGTCTTTCCATCCTTGCTTCATGGGGTGAGTAGTTCAGATGAGCCTTGTTTACCAATTTTACATCATTCTATTGTTTTGAATCAAAAGGTTTATTTATAATCAAAAGTGATATTGCCATTAGAGAACAATGGTTTCCCTTACTTTGCCAGAACTGAGGGTTCCTTTGCCTCAATTATTCTTGGTGCAACCATGTTTCTCATGGCTTGTAGCTGAGCTTCAGAGCAGACAGAAGTGTTAACGTTGTCTGTAGAGCAACTCAGGTCAGTAGAAGGCCAAGACTCGGAGTAGCTCAGCTGGCACTGAGTAGAAGGAGGACAGTGCAGGACACTACGTGATCTTTCATGGAAGACCTGGTCCTCCGTCCTCAAAGGTGACACCCGAGTAGGTAGATCTGAAGGACTGGGTGACTCAGAAAACCGGACAGGACTCAAGACCTGCGATGTGCAGTCCAAAAAACAACATCACCATGAGTTTTTGCAAGTTAAAACTTTGTTTTTCTAATCTCAACATTCGCAGTAGAGACTAGTCTACTACTAAATAGTGCACAGTGCATACTGTAGAGAATAAAAAGCACTATGCAATGTCGAATGTTTCAAGCAGTAATACTTCCTATATTGCAGTTATTGTACTTTTTAGATCGAAATGTACAAATCGTGGGGGGGAAATGTAGAATTTCTCCAATGCAAACCAAGAAAGAGTCACAAAATACACAGGCACATAAAACATGAAGTGAATGCAAAACCAGTTCTCTCACCAGTCTTTTTTGTTGCTTTGGGATTTTTCTGGATTTAGATGGACTGTAGTGGCTCCTGGACAAAGGGGGATCCGGAGGAAATGGATTCTGTCTTGTGAAAACAGCTGAGCCGCTAAGAAAAGTGACAACGTGTAAACAAAATGTAAACAAGTTTAATGTGACAGGATTTGACATCCAACCCACCTTGATCTCATAGCGTTCGTGCAAACCTGTTCTGCTTACTAAAAACAAAGGACGCACGTGGAGTTTTGTCATACTGTAGGATCCATGAATGTCTAAATAAAGGCACAGCAGTTTAACAAAACTACATGACTGTGTTGCATGTGCATCTTAACCGTCGCGTGATTACGTTACTATGGGATTAAACGGTCTTTTACCTCACTATTTAACAAGCTATACGCTATTTAAACTCTCAAAAAAAAACTAGATCCGGATATAACCATAAACTCATTGCAAATATGTTGTATAATTTGATGTTTGTCAAAAAATGATCTCAGCTTACTTTTCGAATTGTGGGACTGCGATGTATCCTGGGATATGTAGTCCGAGAACTGTTGTTTACGTTGTGGTCGAAGACAGTTGACCAGCCAATAGAGTGGCGTATTTTGTGATCGACAGCAATTTGAACCAATAAGAGCGCTGCGCTCTCGTTTGCTGCAGCCAATGACGAGCCAGGAATCTCATTGCGCGCGGAAGAGGAATGTCGGATTGTGACAGAAGCGGCTCGTCGTCAGTCTCTCAGCTAAGGATTGGAAGGTGAATAGCGTGTTGTTTTGTATTTTTTAAAGTGTTTTTACGTCCCAAATGATGTTGTTTAAAGTATTATGGTATTGTTAAGGGATTTATGAAGTTGGCGAAGATTTTAAATGCCGTTAATGAGGAGTTTAAGTGGTTTCCTAGCTAGCTAACGTCAGCTGTTTATATCATTGTAACGTTAACGTGAACGTTAGCTAATTAGCAAAATAATAGTGTCATTGTTTTTACTTGTTGTTCATACTCCCCGTGCTTTCTCTTTTGCTAACTTTTAGTGTGTATACCTATGCCTATGGGTACACACACCATATATAATATGCCCTTTTAAAGACAAAAGTATATCAAACTGCAGCAAATTACCGTAATTTTACAGTAATTTTGTTTTGTATATTAGTCTTAATATGTATAATAATCTTTTATATTAGTCATATAGTAATTAACACATCACTAAATCCTCATCTTAATAAAATTACAGGAAACAAACCAGCAGGTACAATGCTTCACTGTAAAATCAAGACTGAGAAAACAGGTGAGGTTGCAAACATAAGCTTCTTTTTTCATTTCTATTGTGTAGTGTTTTGTGTGGTAAAAAAAAAACTGTTCTTTTGCAGATGCTGGGGCTCGAAACCGCCTTGATGCAGTATTGCAAGGTTTGGTTGAGAGGAGTGACAGTGAGAGGTTAGTGCATTAATGTGTCTTGAGCTTTGAAAGCTCCAGACTGTAACAGCGAAGCTACAAATGGACCTCATGTAGTTAAAGCTCATTAGTGATGGGTCCACTTTAGAAGATTGTCTTAATGTAATATCGTACTGTAAAAATGTGTCTGTCACTAAAAGTGAAAGTGCTGCAAAATGTAAAATAACAGTCTGTCAGAACAAAATGAATGTATGATATACAATGTTAGTGACACAGCGATTCAATTCAACATATTGTCATGAAATGTAAGCTATATTATCGCACAGCTGACTTTACTCGCATACATACTGTACACTCACTTGTTTTTATTTTGTCACAAAATGTTAATTATCGCCCAGCTCTGCTCTTCCAAATGTGACTTTAAGACATGGAGATATTATAAAAATGTTCATCATGATTTTATGTAATGAAATCTGCTTTAAAACGGAGTGTATTGTGAAAAGCACTATAGAAGTAAAACTAAATTGACTTTCCAGTTTCACTATAAAACTTGTAATGTCTATTGTAACAAAATTATATTTTTAACATTTTCTTTCTGTGCCAATGTATTTTAACTTGGCAAAGAATCCCCTATCAATAACATATTTTACTCCTGTTTTGTATTCTGAGAAAACTTATCAGGAATGTCACGCTCGCCACCTGTATCCCTAAAGTATTTGGAATCTGGTGTTTTTTGGAATTTCCACAGAATTGGAGAACTAAATATCTAGGACAACAGGAAGTTATTAGGAAATCTGAGCAACTGGATTCTCTGAAAATAAAGACCATTTATGGCATCCCAGAGATTTGGTTTCCACTGAGCTCAGAAAAATATTTGGTATTGATTAATAGCTTTCTTGTCAGAATCCATTTACATTTCAGCTGTCTGAATAATTGCCACCCTAATAGTCTGAGGTTGTTTACTGCTATAATTATGTTTGTGGAAATACTCTCTTTTTTCTCATGTTTTCCTTTTTTAAAGGAAAATCAAATCATTGATCATCAACAGTAATGCTTTCATTTGTTTCCTGCAAACTTTTCAAAATATCCGGAATTGTAACAATTCAGGAAGGGAATACTGGCAATACATAACTTTTATAAAGTAGAGAGCAGTTGTTTGGGGAAAATTGCCATTTGTATAATCCTTTGTGCTCTTTCTTCCTTTTCCTGCAGAGAGCAGAATGAAGAGGATTCTGGGAAAATGGTGGCAGACTCTTTGAGCAAGTATGCACATACATTGTTTTTGTGTGACTGATATAAACATTTTCCTCTTTTGACCAGAAAAGTGTTTAAGATGTAAAATGGTTAAAGATTTATTTAACAGTCATATGTAATGCACATTAAATATTTTATTCCTTTCTCTTATACAGGGATTTGTCGCCGCCTTCTGCAGGGAAAAGGCAAGCAGAATCTTCTTTGACCTTTACTTTGAAGGAATAGTTTACCCACAAATAAACAATTGCTGAAAATGTACTCACCCTCAGGTCACCCAAAATGTAGATGTGTTTGTTTCTTCATCAGAACAAATTTGGAGAACTTTGAGAGATTAAATTACGTCACTTGCTCACCAATGTTGGAAGTCGTGGCCTAATGGTTAGAGAGTCGGACTCATAACCCAAAGGTTGTGGGTTCGAGTCTCGTACCGGCAGGGATTGTAGGTGGGGGGAGTGAATGTACAGCGCTCTCTTCCACCTTCAATACCACGACTGAGGTGCCCTTGAGCAAGGCACCGAACCCCCAACTGCTCCCCGGGCGCCGCAGCATAAATGGCTGCCCACTGCTCCGGGTGTGTGTTCACGGTTTGTGTGTGTTCACTGCTGTGTGTGCACTTTGGATGGGATAAATGCAGAGCACTAATTCCGAGTATGGGTCACCATACTTGGCCACATGTCACGTCACCAATGGATCCTCTGCAGTGAGTGGGTGCCGTCAGAGTGAGGGTCCAAACAGCTGATAAAAGCACCACAAGTAATAGACACGACTCCAACCCATTAATTAACGTCTCCTGAGATGAAATGCTGCATTTTTGTAAGAAACACGACCTTCAAAAATTCCTTAATATTGCTTTCTCCAGAGAAAAGTCTGAATCAGGTGGGAACTAGGCACAGATCAATACTAAACAAATATGCTGGTGTATTTTGATGGATAATCTTTTATTTATAATGGATTATGGACTCATATTTTGGCCATAAGTGATGCTTTATAGTTAAAACGTCTTAATGGTGGATTTTTTTAAAATTATAAATGCACAGCTTTTCACTTCACATGACATTAACTGATGGACTGGAGTCATGTGGATTATTGTGATGTGTTCTGACGGCACCCATTCACTGCAGAGCATCCATTGGTGAGCAAGTGATGTAATGCTAAATCTCTCCAAATCTGAAAAACCATTGCAAATATATCATAAATATTCATTATTTCAACTAGCCTTACTACCAGCTGTGTGTACACTTCTTAAGGCTATTCAACATTCAAAGTGTGCTTTGTAAATATTTACAATAGTAATACTAACAGCCTAGATTCATTCCTAAATGGTTTGGTAGAGTTTGCTTTAAGAGACCCTTTTTGCCTTTCACAGACCATCATCACGATTCCCACAACACAGAAGGAAGAAGCGTAAAGAGATGGATGATGGTCTGGCAGAAACCAACCAGCATAAACAAAGTAAGACCAAAGAAGAAACAAATAGTGATGTGTAGGTTGAGTTAGGTAATGTGTAAGTAAATTTGAAATAAATGGCAATAAGTGCAGAATTTTAATTCTCCCTATGTATATAGGCAATTTTGTATCTTAAAGATAAGTAAAATGTTTTATCATTTCTGAGAAACACCATTGGGTTTTCTTATCAGTCAATATGTGTGGTTGTTGAGGGACTTTTATTTCATGCCAAGGTTTAGAGAATTAAATGGAAGGGTTTTTTTTAAGTCTTGATCTCGTAAGACCCATTTCCTGTTTGTCTTCTCCATCAGATGCTTATATTATCAAGTTATTTGACCGCAGTGTGGACTTGGCTCAGTTCAGCACCACCACGCCACTCTATCCCATTTGTCGGGCGTGGATGAGAAACAACCCATCTATGCAAGAGAGAACAGCGCCCAGCCCCCCTCACAGCTCTGGGGAGGATGAGGTCACCCCCAGCATTCGCTCGGCAATCATTTTAAATACTCATCCCCTTCAGATCATTGAACTGCTCCGGGGGTGTGTTTCCCAAAACCATCGTTAGCTAACTATGGTCGTTAGTTCCATTGAACTCTATTGGTAACGACGGAACTTGCGACCATAGTTACTTTTGGGAAACGTTATCACAGAATTTCAAATTATTTTTTGCAGATTTCGCAACCGGTTCAGTTGACGTGAATTTGCCACATTAGCTAACAGAAACCTGCTTGGTCTGAAAGTGATTTCAGTGTGGGCTGTGCTTCATATATCGCTACATTATTAACAATAGACAATGGAACAGGTTTGGGTTTTTTTCAGAAGTTTTTAAAAATTGTAAAATCATAAGTGTTCGTACAAATCAAATCATACGACTTTATATGAAAAACGAGGTCACCCCCAGCATTCGCTCGGCAATCGTTTTAAATACTCATCCCCTTCAGATCATTGAACTGCTCCGGGGGTGCGTTTCCCAAAACCATCGTTAGCTAACTATGGTCGTTAGTTCCATTGAATTCTATCGGCAACGACGGAACTTGTGACCATAGTTGCTTTTGGGAAACACACCCCAGAATAGCATGGTTGTTCACTTGTTGATTTTCGAAGATGGATGAATTCCAGGTTAAATACAAGCTAAAGTCTCTCTCATATTGCCATTTTTCCACAGATAATGACAAATGCTTCCAGTAATGTACTTAAAGTGGGACTCAGTAGGGCCACTGTTCTATTTTTGTTAGAGCACAACCAAAATTTAGTTTGTTTAATATTTTTACAGTTGTCTAAATAATATCGTGGAAGTGGGACTGTTTTTGTTGGTGGATGAACATCTGTTTATATAATTCTGACATTCCTTCTAACCCCACAGAGTTCCCAGGAATAGTCATTTAAATGTCCACAGTCAATGTATATTTTTTGTTGATAAGCTCAGTATTTCTTCAGGTAGATCTCTATACAGTAATTTTTAACAAACTCTCAT